CTTCTGGCCAAGTCATATTATTAACATGTCTTCAGCTATATGCATATGCTTATTTATAGTTACTCTCAAAAACATTTTGCTCACAAGCCTTCAGAATCCATAATATCATATTTTAAAAGGGGCCTTGGAAGTCTTCTTATCCAGTTTCTTCCTCAGTTGAGAAGTCCCTGCAGAAGGCATCTTCTCAGAGGTTGCCTTGGAGGCTGGTCCTGCCACATAGCACTGAGTCATCTTGGGCAGGTTATTTCACACCTGAGAAGTGCTGATGCAGTGAGTAGGAGCATTTGCTGGGGTTGGTTTCCTGGACAGGCCTTTCACCAGCTGTGTGATCTTGGGCATCTCACATAATCTCTCAAGCTTCACTTTCCTCTTTTACAAGAGTTAACAGGACTTTTCTGCTAGATTGGATGTGAAGATTGAGTAAGTTTTTTATAAAGCCCCAGCACTTGCAAGGCTCCAGAAACTTCTCCAGTAGATGTCAGCTGGCACCTGTGGCATATGGTAGATCTCCTGGTGCACAGTGGCTCCTACAAGAGACAGGACAACACTGGGCTGTGGGCTGATGAGGCCAGTGCCAAGAAGCTCCTTGCATCCAGAGGAGTGAAGTGTTGTTGCAGAAATAACTTCTCGGGCCCATGCTCAGGGTGCTGGTACTAATGGGAACGGCTCCAAACACCGGGGGGCGAGGGGTGGGGATGGGTAGGGGGGTCTGTTTGCAGTGTCTGTCAGAATGGCAAAGACACTTGCCCTCTGACCAGTAGCTCTGCTTCAGGAAGTGTGTCCTGCAGGTGTGTGGTACTCTGGATACAAGTCCTTTGTCAGATTTGCTTTGCAGATATTTTCTCCCAATCCATGTCTTTTGTCTTTTCATTCATTTCACCTAGTCTTTGAAGAGTTTTTACTTATGATAAAGTTCAATTCTTTAATTTTTTTCTCTTATACTCATATATGATGACTTGGGTATTATAGCTAAAAAATCTTTGCCTATCCCAAATTCACAAAAATATTCTTCTCTATTTTCCTATAGCAGTTTTATAATTTTTGTTTTTATATGCACGTTTATTTCCAATTTGAGTTAATTTTTTATACTGTACAAGATTTTAATTCAGAATGGTATAAGATTTTAGTTTATTGTACAGGATTTTAGGACCCCCCCCCCCCCGCCATGAGTACTTAGTTGTTCCAGGACCATTTGTTGAAAAGACCATCCTTTCTACACTGAGTTGCTTTCGTACATTTATCAAAGAGGTTGTGTGTGTGTGTCTGGACCCTCTGTTCTGTTTCATTGGTCTGCCTACCACACTGTTTTGATTACTATAGCTTTAACATAATTTGTGAAATTAGGTAGCCTTCCTTTTTCATTTTCAATATTTTCACTGTTCTAGGTCAATTTACATTTTCATATGAATTTTAGAATCAGCTTGTCAATCTGTACAAAGAAACCTCTGTGATTTTGCTTGAGATTGCTTTGATTCTGCAGATCAATTTGGGGAGAAGTGCATTTCTGACAGTACTGAGTCTCTAGCCCGTGAATGAGGTGCATCTGTGTGTGTCAGGCATCTTTGACATCTCTTGGCAGTACTCTGAAGTTGTCAGTGTACAGGCTGCTCATCCCAGTGCAGTTTCATCTCTGTGTATTTCATGGTGTTGGCTGTTTTTGTCAATGATATTTTCCAGATACTTCTGGTACTGATTTCTAGTTTCATTCCATTATGGTCACAGAACATATTTGGAATCACCAAGTTCCTTCTAAATACATTGAGCCTTCTTTTATGGTTCAGCATTTGGCTTGTCTTGGTGAATATTTTGAGCATACCTGAAAGGACTGTATTCTGCTGGTATAAGTTGGAGTCTATAAGTCTGAATGAGGTCAAGTTGGTTTATAATAGAGTCCTTCTCCTCCTACGTTTTGCTAATTGTTCTATCAATTACTGCGAGAGTTCTGTGGAAGTCTCCGCTCGTAATTGTGGACCTGCCTGTTCTCCTTGCAGGTCTGTCAGTTTTTGCCTCATTTCTTTTGAAGTTCTTTTAGTAGTGTGTGCATGTTTAGGATTGTTGTGTTCTCTTGAGTAATGGACCCTTTTATTATTATGAGGTTACCTTTTTGTTAGTAGTCTAGACTCTGAAATTTGCTTTGTCTGATATTAATAGCCTCTCTGACTTTCTCTTGCAGGTTTTCTTAGTGGCAGCATGTCTTTTTGCATCTTCATATTTAAAAGTGCATTTTTGTCAGCAGCACATAATTGAATGATGCTTTTTAATCCAATTTGATTATCTCCCAAATATGACCATTTACCTCTTAACATAGCTATTGATATGATGGAGTTTGTTCTTGCCATTTTACTATTTTCCGCTTGTCCTATTTCTTTTTTTCTTTTTCTTTTTTTTTTTTTTTTTTTTTTGAGTTGGAGTCTCACTCTGTCGCCCAGACTGGAGTGCAGTGGCCGCTCCCGGCCACCGCAGCCTCGACCTGCTGGGCTCTGGCGATCCTTTTGCCTTAGACTTCCGAGTAGCTGGAACTACAGGCGCGCGCTACCACGCCCAACTAATTTTTTTGATTTATTGTCGAGATGAGGTCTCGCCAAGTTGCCCAGGTAAGTCTTCGAACCCGTGGGCTCAGGCAATCCACTCACCTCAGCCTCTCGAAGCACGGGATTACAGGCTGAGCCACCGAGCCCGGTGGTCCTATTTCTTAATTTTCTTTTTTCCTGTTTTTCTGCCTTTTTTCAAATTAATTGTGTTTTGTTTTTTTTTTATGATTCTGCTTTATTTGGGGGGCTTCTTAACTAGAACTCTGTTTTGTTATTCTATGGGTTGCTGTAGGGTTTATAGTATACATCTTTAACTTGTCACAGTCTATCTTCAGGTGATACTGTACCTTTTCACATATAGTGTAGTAACCTTACAACTGTCATGTTTATTTTTCGCCTTGAACCTTTATGCTCTTGTTGTCATGCATTTTATTTGCTCTCTGTCTTAAACCCCATTCTGTTTTTATTACTTTTGTCTAAACAGTCTATTGCTTTTAAAAATAGTTAACAATTTCACTATCTTCAAAAGACATATGGTGACCACCCCACTGCTCTTCATTCTTTGTGTGGGTCTGATATTGCCTTCTGCAGTCATCTGCCTTCTCCCTTAAGGACTTCCCTTCACATTACCTGTAGAGTAGATTTGCTGGCGATTAATTATTTCTGCTTTTGAATGTCTGAAAGCATCTTTGTTTTGCTTTTGTTTTTCAAAATATTTTTACTGGGTACAGAATTCTAGATTGGTGTTTGATTTATTTCGGTATTTCGAAGATCTCTCTCCACTCTTCAGCTGCATTGTTTCTGGTGAGAAATCTGCTTTGTGCCCCTTCATAGGTAACGTTTTTCCCTCTGGCTGCCTTTATGATTTTTTTTCTTTATCATTGGTTTTAAGCAATTTAATTATTATGTGCTCTGGCGTTGTGTCTTTATGCCGCGTGCTTCATCATGTTTGTTGAGCTTCTTGAGTCTGTGGTTTTATACTTTTCATCAAATTGGAAACTTTCTTATAGTACTTTTCCTGTCCCCTTTTCTTCTTTCCTTTGGAGATTCCAGTTACATGTGTTTTATGCCTCATAAAGTTGTCTCCCAGCTCAGTGATTCTCTCTTTGTTTTTAAAGATTCATTTTCCTCTCTGTTTTATTTTGGACAGTTTCTATTGCTATGCCTTCAAGTACATTAAACTTCTCTTGCAGAGTCTAATCTGTCATTAATCCCATCCAGTGTATTTTTTTTAATCTCAGGCATCGGAACTTCTGCCTCTAGAAATTTGAGTCTTTCTAATGTCTTCCATGTCTATTCTTAACTGTTCCATTGTTCCACCAGTTTTAACAACTGTCTTAATGTCCTGTTCTGTTTAACAACTGTCTTAATGTCTGTATTTCTTGGTAGGTTTCCATTGACTGCTCATTCTCCTCATTATGAGCCATGTTTTCCTGCTTCTCCTAATACCTGATCATCTTTGATTGGATGGCAGACATTGTAGATTTTAGCTTGTAAAATTCTAGACATTTTTGTATTTGTATATATCCTCTTGATCTTTTTTTCAGAGATGCAGTTAGATTTCTTAGAAAGAGTTTGGGTTTTTTTAGGTCTTGCTCTTGTAATTTTCTAGGATGCCCTGGAGCAGTTCTCAGTCTAGAATAATTATTCCCAACTGCTAAGCAAAGACCTTCCTTACAAGTTTTTTTCCATCTGGCTGGTAGGGCAGCCAGTGTCCCTGTCTATGTAGTGTTGTATACTATTTCCATCTCTATGGGCCTTGACAAAGCTTTTGATTTTTAAATTACACGAATATGTTTTTATTCAAAATATTAGATTTTAAAATGAAGACAAAAATGGACAGTTTCTTACTATAAGCTAAAACTGGCCTCCATTCCTGCCTCAGCCGCTGGTCTTTGTTGCCCACAGACCCACAGAGGATAAGGGGAACTTGCCAGAGATCACCCCAATGCCTGCTTTTGTTTCTTATCTTAGTTTTTCCACCCTAGCCCCCAGTCATCAGCTCCTTGAACACCCCCACATTCGAAATCTTTCCATGTCTTTTCATCATTTTTGGAGACTTTCTTGAGGTAATTGTCATGTTTCTCAGTGTCCTCTAAAATCTGTCATCACATGCTCTAGGAGTAGGCTGATGCCACAGGGCACACCTAGACTCCCACATGTCCTACCTCTGGTTGGTGTGCTTATGTGCTTCCGGTCAAGTTGTGGTTAGCGAGGACTCCTTCACCAGCACAATCTCTTCCACCCGAATAGATTCCTTTTATGGACTCTTCTGTCCTGTACTTATGTAATTTTGCACTTTTTCCTTTATATCATCCCTGGACAATGAGAGCTTCACATATGTATATTTCAAAACAAAAATTGTATAGCCAGATCTCCTAAGCTTCTACCTTCTCATCAACCAGAGGGCAAGACTTCTGCAGCACAGGCTGCCACGGATGCCTTGTCATGGTTTCACTGTCCTTGCAGGTTAAAGATAGAGGAACTAGAACGGGAGCGGAGTCGACTGGAGGAAGAGAAGAAGATGCTAGAGATGCAGCTTGAGAGGCGTACCCTGCAGGTAAGCGCTGGGGGCAGCCCCTCGTGGAGGCACGTCCTGGAGCCTGTGTCAGATGTGCATGTCCTTGGGTCCCACCCACAACCCACGGAACATCCCACTTTCTAACTCGTCAGTCTGGACCGTCCTTGGCCTTCCCGCTGTGTACACACCCGTACCTGGTCATGAGCCCGTGCCCCAGAGTCTAACAGAAGTGAGCATGTTCCCATGGGCAGGTCTGTGCTGGTCACCAGACCCTTCTCCTGGAGGCCTCTCACTCTGCTGACGGGTTCCTCTTCTCCCTGCGCTGACCACAGTGCCTTTTGTGTCAAGAGTAGGTTCATGGGGAGAGACACAGGCGGGAGATCCTATCTGGTTCTGATTTTGCATCCACGACTGTCCTGTTGACCCACCCTCATGAGGATGGACTGTTTGCATTCTTTTAGTTTTGCTTTCTTTTTAGTTTTTATCCTCCTGTGTAAATTGTTCCATGGCAAGAAACCCACAGGTTTGAGATGACCCAGCTTTTAGACAGACCATTGATTTTATCTTGGCACCTATTAGAGGCAAATCAAACCTCTTTTTTATAGCCAACTCCTGGTGACATACATGATAAAGTGAGATTCTCTGAGCTGCACTGGACTGTGTGCTTGGCCCAGGACCTGTCATCTTGTGCCTGTTTAATTGATCGCATCCCTCAGGTGGGGTTGTTAGACTGCTGGCAGGTGAACCCCTGGCACTTGTATGCAGTACCACATCAGAATGCATCACATGTCTTTTTGGGTGTTTAGTCAGGCAGAGCCTGAACTTGGGGCTCCTTGGCTCCCGAGCCCCTTGCTGACTGGGGCTCATCATGGCTTTCCTGCTTCTAGGCTTCCGGCCCTTCTCACAGGGCACCCCCATATTCCTTGGAGGGGTTGAGGAGCCATCAAGATGAGGGGTGCTGGTGGGCGCTTTGCAGCATGCAGTGAACACCCGGTGGGGCCTGGCCACCAGCATCCTGTACAAATGGCAGGTGCTTGGGTGTTCTCAAGTGTTCCCGCATAGTAGTTATAGGGCAGGACATCTGGTGGGAGGTGCTTAGGGTTGGCACAAGGGATAGGATTAGTGATGCCTCATGTGACCCTCCCCCTGAGCTCGGTGGAGCCCTTGCTGTTCGTCGTGTGTCCTCGAGCTGCTCAGAGGGGTTACGCTTCTACCTAGGGAAGCAGGGTGCTATTGGCATCAGCTTTATGGAGTACAAGTGCTCACATCATAGGTATGAGGAGAGAGTATAGAGCCAGGCCTGGCAGTCCTGGGGGAGCAGGTACTGTGCAATGGCGTTATAACCTCGAGCCCAGCGCACGGAACTGACCCCGCCCTGAAATGGGCTGGCAGGGATGACTGTCCCTGATTAGTGTGGAAGAAACAAGCTCAGAGAATTGAGGTGGGGAGGCAGCTGTGGTTTGGCCCTCAGAGGGGTGGTGGCTTTTGGCTGTCAGAGCTGTGCGGGGCAAGGGGAGGCCACACTGTCCCTATGGTGGCTCAGGTTGCTGGGCACCGGATACCCAGGCTGCATAACCGCCTCTCCCCCGCGCTGGCCAGGGCTGCTGTGTCCTGCAGCTTTGCTCCTCACCCGGACTGCAAGGCCACAGTGCCAAAAGGCTGCTGACTTCCTCTCTTTCGTGTCACGTGTCGCCTTCGCCACCAAACAGCGCTGCACATCCATCTTGAATCCAGGAGGCATCCTGAGCCATTCCTGCCCTGAATGCGAGCCTTATTTTGGGAAGGTCAGAGCGGCAGAGGGAGCTTAGGGCAGCCTGAATCCCATTTCCCATTGTGGTCAGGACCATGAGCCTCTACTCTTGGCCATAGCCATGCCCCAGTGCCTCCTCCAAAGATGGAGGGTGCAATCCCGATTCACTGGTGAGAAGAGTGGTTTGGTCCAGGGCAGCTGACCTGGGGCCAGGGGCTGAGCTGAGATTTAAAGCTAGGTCGTCTTTTGAGCCTGTCTCTCCCTGCGCTCCTAGCCCCCCACCCTGCCTCACCCAGCCTCACCCTTCCCTTAGCTATTGTGAGACCACCATGAGGGCAGCGTGGCAGCTGGATATGTCCTGACAGCCTGGCTCTGTCATTCCCTCGTCACCAACCTCAGCTCCAAGGAGCACAGCCCCCCGCCCCCCCCCACGTGTAACCACTGGTCTGTTCCTCTTACCCTAAGCTTCTCCCATCTCTGTGCCAGCAGCAAGTGGCCATGGGGTGGGGGGACTGTCCCCAGGCTGGACTGCTCTTTGTGAGCCCCTCTGCAACTGAGTCTAGGCCTTGGGCTTTTGCACCCTGAGGCTAAACTGGCCTCCCGGGTGGTGTTGCTCACCCATCATAAGGGACAGTTCCTATCCGATCCTGATGCCAGAGTTTCCCTGAGTCCTCAGTTTATGCAGTGTGTGTGAAGGAGGGGCTGTCCATGCAGGGCCTTGGTGAGCCCCACCCAGCAGAGGGTGACAAAGGCCCTGACACAATATGGTTGGTCCTGGTAGATGGAGGAGCAGGAGCTCTGTGTGGCATGGGGAGCTGGCACAAGTGGTGTGGGAAATGAGTCTGAAGATGGTTTCCACATGCGGAAACAGGAGCACTGGCAGCCCAGGGCCCTGGTGGAGACCAGTATCCATGGCTCTCAGAAATCTCGTTCCTCTCCCTGGGCTATAGAAGTCTTGGGCATGTGAGTTTTCCCACCTGAGTTCCCAGTGCTTCCTTTATAAAACAGAGAGCATGATGCCCATGTGGCTTGGGGGAGAGCAATGCCATGGCTTTACCACCACAGCTGGCACGCAGTGGGTGCTCGGTAGGTGATTGTGCCCATCATTTTGCCCTTCCTGTCTTTTCCATCCTTGAAGGCAAAGGCCTCATCCCCGTTACTTCTGTCCCTGTACCTGGACACCTCGGGTTACCTCAGGTCCTGCGGAAGCAGTGACAGCATGTGTGGGCCCGTCCTGGTCCCGGTGGTGCTGCTGAGGGCCCCTGCATCTGCTCAGGCCTCAGACTGGGTCTGCTGGGCTGGGCTGGGCCGGCCCCGGGCAGAGTGGAGCACTCTTCAGAGCATCGAGTCCCCACAGCACGGGAGTGTGGAGTGCTCCTTATGCAAATGCCCTCTCCCCCTCTTCCTGCTCCTCTTCCCTCTGGAGGAGGAGAGTCTTCAAGTTGGGCCGCTTCAAGGAAGATTGATTAAAATCAGCTGCAGTCTGACTTAATTGGGAACACATGCTCGGAGAGTGGCTCGATTGGTTGGAACTTTTTGTGATTAGTTCACAGCTGGCTGGCGAGGAAGCAGAACTCCAGTCCCCACTTAGAGTTGGGCGTGTGCAGTGCACCACGCGGGGCCAGCAGGAGACAGGGCCGGGTGGCCATCCTTAGGAGACTCACCGTGCAGCCCCACTGGGACGCTGCCCTTTCTGGGTCTCCCCAAGCACCCTGGGCCGTTTGCACATTCATCTGAGGGTGGCCTGGGTTCATTCCTCGAGTTGCTGAAGGGGATGGACAGGAACAGCCTCACCTGGCTGTGCAGCAGGACTGCTCATCCAGTGGGCAGGAGGACAGGAAGGCTCAGGCACCCATGATGCTGCTGTCCAGGCTGCAGGCAGCCTCCATTCGAAATGGGGAAACTGAGGCCCGCAGTTAGCCTGCACGTGAAGGACAGACTTATATACTCCATGACTTAGAGGCAGAATGGGATTTAAACATGGTACAGTGTTTTCTGATAAAGGTGAAATCGAGCAAACTGGAGTTCCAGGTCTGATGGCAGAGGGAGTTTTGTGGATACGAGCACAGTTGCGAGAGTCCGCAGGTGGGCGGCAGAGTCCCTGTCCCCTGGCCACCGTCCATGGCCCCATCCGCCTCCCCCCACCTTCTCCATTGGCGGAACCAAGAGGCTGGAGAATGGTTGTGGAACGGCAGCAGGGCCGTCGTGTCCTCTGTCCTTTTCCTGACAGGCCTCTGGTGGCCCTTCTTGAAGAGGGGCTGCTGTCCCGGGGGCTTGCCCTCGGCGTCTGGGGTGGGCCACACTCTGCCTCCCACCAGCTGCGACCTGGCCTCAGCATGCTTCCGTGGCGTGGAGGGCACAGGCCTCCGCTGCAGACCGTCTTTGGAGGATACAGGGGACACGCCTGGTGAGCCGAGCTGCTGCCGCCACCATTCCTGTTCATCTGTGGTGGTGCCACCATCCTCACGGACTCGCCGGGGCAACACGGTGCATGGTGTCTGCCTGTGTGGTTCTGATCTGGGCACTGCCTGTGTGGCTAAATCTGGGCACAGTGAAGGCACCAAGGAGAGACCAGATGCACAGCGAGGCCAGTGGGGGTGCCCAGACGGCCTCTAGGGTGCAGAGGCTCATCCAGTAGATGGCCTGTCTGGGCTGCACACTAGCCTTCCGACAGGGCAGGTCACGTCCTCAGGGACACCTCCACCTGGTAACACATGAACGTCTGTGTGTGGAATGCACAGCGTGGCCAAGCATGGGTGCCCCATCGGGACCCCTCTGTCACCTGGTGTGGTGGTGGAGCCCGAATTCAAATTTCCTCCTCTTGGATTGTTTCCAGCATTGTATTGTGAGCATTTTCAAACACAGAGTGAAACTGAAAGAATTCCACAGTAAATACCCGTTCACCCACCACCTAGATCCTGCTATGGATGTTCTGCAGTGCTTTACGACGGATCTATCCATCCCTCTTCCGTACATCAGACCACTTCATTTTTTGATGTGTTTTAAAGTAAATTGCCAACATCTGTATACTTGCCTCTAAATGCTTCAGTGTGCGTGTAATTAAGTAGAATTCATCGCTGGGAGTTTGAAGCCTTGCTCCAGCCATCCTCACTGTGGCCTAATCATGGTGCTTATTCCCGCAGGTTGGTGGAGCCCCCTCCCCCACTGTGAGCTGCCTTCCCTGCCCTCCAGAGCCGAGCCCTGAGCACATGCCCCTCCATGGCCCCCTCTGAGGTGCCTCCAGGCCCCACCCATCTCTCCTACCTGGCTGGGGCGGGCTGGGCTGTCT